TTTTTTTTTTTTGTATAAAAACAAAAGCTCATCTAAATTTTTAGTATTAGCAACGGGCTTTTTCGTGCCTTTTCGTGCTTTTATGAAATTTTACTGAACGCCCAGGCCCGCACGAGTTCGTGCTGACAGCAAATATTCCGGCCCGTGCCCATCTCTACTTGGAACCCTGGCGGGTGGAGCGCTCAAATATTTGTTATACTACTTGAGCGCTTAGCGCCTGAAGCTAAAAGCCCTGATTAGACTGACTTAGAGCCGAATGCGAATGTGTAAAATGATGCGAATCATTCGCATAACAAATGCGAATGCAAATATTCGCAACATCCCTAACAGTTATCGAATGTATATACAAAGCCTACGAAAAATACATAGTGATAAAATCAAATATTATTATTTATTGAAAAATTTCATACGATTACCACCAACAGCTTAAACTAAAAATTAATTGTTTTTCTTTCGTATATTTTTATTATAAAACTACTGAGTTTACTACTGTCCCCTGATGTACATTAGGGTGATTCAAAATTGGAACTTTTTTGAATTTCGACTGAGAACGTTCGGATTCTTGAAGATAAGAGAAAAGACAAGATTATTCTAAAATTTAGCCTATTTGAACAAGATTTAGAGGTCGCCCAGCGCTGTTGTTTGTTTTCCGGAAACTACAGATTTTAGATGCATCTTTATTAACAAATAGGTATATTTTCATCAAATCTTGTCGGACTTCGTTGAAATTTCGTAGGTAGGTTTCAAAATATTAGCTTATTGGAACTCAGTTTATATAAGTTCGATATATTAGTTTTACACACACTTATTAATTAGTTAGTAACTAAGTTTTGCCTAATAAAAAATTAATNAGTGTGCAATTTCCGACTTATGCCGATGACATCGACATCATCGGTAACAAAAACCGCGAAGTCCAAGTTGGATAAGGAAGCAAAGCAAATGGGTCTGGTGGTAAACGAGAACAAGACGAAGTATCTCCTGTCATCAAACAAACAGTCAGCACATTTGTGCCTTCGCACCCACGTCACTGTGATAGTTATAATTTCGAGAAAGTAGAGAGTTTCGTTTACTTGCAATTTCCGACTTATGCCGATGACATCGGCATCATCGGTAGCAAAAAGCGCTATGTCTGTTCTGCCGTTTGCAAGAGAGCGAGAGAGTTTAAAAGAGAACAAGACGAAGTATCTTCTGTCATTAAGCAAACAGTCAGCACATTCGCGCATTAGCACCCACGTCACTGTTCACAGTTATAATTTTGACAAAGTAGAGTATATCGTTTACTTGGGCACACCGACGCCCCAGCTCTGAAAGTATTCAGCTCGGAACTCGCTGGTGGTAGCAGAGGAAGAGGGAGGCAATGGAAAGACCAGGTGGAGAAGGACTTGGCATTTCCAATTGACGTCAGTTGGCAGAGAAAAGATACATTGTCAACATTTTGTAGTTCGGCGTTATGGGACATTCTACTTTGTACGTATGCAAAGCTATTGAGAGTTTTGGAAGTCAGCCAAATATGTAGCAATTCCAACAACAAAGCAGCTAGCACAGAGTCGCATTTATCTTGCTATGCTTTTTAGCAAAATATGTGCATGGGTTCAGACGTTTCATACTTTGCACCGATAGGAAATGCTTCTCCGCATGCATTTTGTTGTTGGGTGTTTGCAAATTATGCAATCCGTGCTACGTGCAACGGCTTTGCAAAATTTCAAGAATACCCCTATTGAATAATATGTAGTCATATGTATCTATGTATAAATACCTACTGGATACAGAATATGTATTTTGAACGGTTGCTTTAATACGTAGTATGTATAACCAATTTTACGACAACAAAATTTTGCACCAGCAAGTGTGGAATAGGTGTACGTGTCTATGTATGTACATGTATTGGAGGTGTATGAATAAATATATTGCGGTTAATAATATATACATTAAATATTGTAAATTATTGCCAGCTAAAACTACTAACAAAAAAAAAACCAAAAGACGGAATATTTTTGAAGCATTAAATAGTAACTGCTCTTACCTTTAGTGGTTTTGAATCCTTGTTTGATAGCCCGCGTTGTTCTCACAGCCGCCCGGTATATGCGCCAATAAAAAAAGAGCATCACAAGCATTGGAATATAGAAGGAGCCCAACGCCGAATACACTACATAGCCGCGATCATTAGTTAATTCACACTTCGAGTCACACAAAGGCTTCCCGTAGAAAAGTGTCGCAGGCATTGTACCATCCATGAATTC